GGCAGAATGGGTGTTTCTGATCTATGCATGTAAATTTGGTGAGGTGATTATGTAGGCCTTGAATTGTCACAGAGATACAGCTCTTGATGAGCTCTGGAACATGCTATGGGAATTCTTTAAAAATGCGTAGGAGCCCTGTCAGTGACTCCGATACATGCGGGACCAATCTTGCTGTGTTCTGTGGAGCTGCATGCAGCACTGGCCTTTGTGGATGGGCAGCAGTGCTGGTGTCTGAAAGCTGGTGCTTGGGAGAGCAGAGGTGGCTGCAGCTTGGATAGGCCCTACCAGTAGCCTCCTGTCTCCTGCATGGCCATAGTAAGTGGGAGCATCAGGCGGATGGTGAGGTTCACACAGCTGTCCAGGCTAAGTGAGCTTTCGTCTCTCCAGAGTGATCTGCGTAAGGGATTCCTGAAAATCTGCTGAAGATCTGCTAAAGACTTTTGGGTTTGTACCTCTCTGAGGAAGACTCAAATAAATATACACAAAATAAACTTTAGCCGAAACACTGAATCTTTGCTGTGAAAGRCAAAATAGTATTATAATGTCGCTGATAAACGCCTGATTTTCCCTTTTTTTTTTCTGCTAGTTTTGCCTCACCTTTGGTGGTAAATTAAATTCTAAGTAATGACAGGAACTTAAGGAAACATTTCTTAACAGTGAGGGTGATGGAGCCCTGGCACAGGCTGCCCAGTGGGTTGTGGAGTCTCCTTCTTTGGGGATCTTTAGAACCCGCTTGGATGCAGCCCTGTGCCCCGTGCTCTGGGTGACCCTGCGTGAGCAGGGGGGTTGGACTAGATGACCTCTGAGGTCCCTTCCAACCTTAAGCATTCTGTGATTCTATTTGGATTGGACTAGGAATCTGTGTGGCAYAGCATCCTGTCTCTGGCAATTGCGTGGGGAATATGTTCAACTGAGCAAAATTGGAGTGCTGCTTCTCTCTTCAATTCCCTTGGCACCCTCTGAGCTGTATTCAGAGTGTAGTGTGTGCTAGGACTCACCTGGACTGTTGGCTGACCTGTCACAAAAGCAATGCTGTAAACCAAATCATACCACATGGAGCTAATAACTGATGTGAATTGGCATATCTCTGTTGGTTTGTGTGAAATTACACCACTTAATGTCATCTGATTGTCTTATTGTCTTATTTAATTCCTGTTTCCCTGCTCTTCCTATACCCTGCCTTGATATTTTAATCAGATCAGAAATTATATTGCTAGGATACTTTCATTTACTTTCTGTAATCCTGTGGATAACTCTCTGAAACCAAATGAATATAGTAACTTTGCTTATTATAGCTCTTATGTGAAGCTGTTAATATTGACCAATTACAATTACCACAAAAAATTTTTATGAAAAGTATTTGCTTTTTTTTTGCTAAAATAAGCTTTGCATAATACTGACTTCTATTGTTGTCTAGTATGTGGAAGGCCTATTTTCTTGAAGACAATCAAAAAATGAGCAAACCCTTATCAGTCAAATGCTTTGAAACACTTCATGGAATGCATTTTAGGTGTTTAAAGTTCAAAATATAACATTTAGGTTCAGGAATGTCTTTTTTCCTATACTTTGGCTGAATAACCTTTTTGATGAGATAAAACATCTCACCACAGTAAAAACAGCATGTGGCCAGAATGCTGTACTGGTTTTGGTCTCTAGTATGCCGTGCCCGTACCTTTTGGGAACAGCAGCAAAAAGGCATGTGTAGTAGATAATTTTAGGGAGAGCCTGAAAGTGGCAGTGAAAGAGTTTCTATCACATCACATCAAAATAAAGCCTTTCTGTGTGTTAGTATCTTGGAGCAGTGGAAGTGTGGAACTTAATGGAGTGCGGCTAAATCTATTTAAAGGGAATTTCCTGATTTCAAGGAAAACTAATTTAAAGTGCAAACCTGGAAACTTCTTACAAGTTCATCTGAAATGGAAGTATAGGCATTTTAGTTGCCTCTTTTGTCTGGTGAAAATTCAGTGTTCAGTGGTCAGTTGAGTGAAATCTATTCACAAAATCTTCCTCGGCGAGTAATTTTGAATAACGAATGAATTTGGAAACAGAAATACCCTATATCTGAGGCAAACTGTACACGAACAAATCGGGCAGTATTTGTTCCAGCTAAGGTGCCCTGCTGCAGTAGTGTCACTAATGTTTACTGAAGTATGTGGAGAAATCACAAATGACTTAAAATACGAAAGGAAATATTTTGAAATGATTCTTTTCATAATAATCAAATATCTATGGCATATTGATAAACAGTAGCTGTAACTGCATCCTTCTAAAATCCTGTGTATCTGTAAAATATACCATGATGTGCTTGCTGSTAATTCATCAAAGATATTTGGAGTGATTATAGCAGAGGCAGTCTTCACACTTTGTATGGGTACATTACTGTTTAGCAAAAGCATAAGTGATTTCAGGCTCCTTTCAGGCACCTTTCAGGAGGTTGGATAGTAGTGATTTTGTGAGTATTGTTTTGCTTCTTAAACCTGACTAGTGCTCTGTAAAACCGGGTCATCGAGACGCTTGAATCTAGCTATTGCCAGACTACGGAAGAAGAATTAAAATAAAGAGGTTTTTGTATCATGGAGCAAGAATAAATTCTCACAGTAACTATTYTGTGTTCTGACACCTGCATTGTAAAGAAGACTTAGCTGTATAGTAGAGTCACAGCAGTAGGGAGACACAACTTTCTATCTTCTTTTATGTGCTTTTCCATAAACTTTAATGAAAAGAAGCTGCAAGAGGGAGTGGCTGTGCCGTTCTCATAAAGAGAACAAAAAGCAGAAATATTACAATATTCCACCACAAATGTAATCTACTCCTGATGTGAAGTACAGTAGGGAAAGGCTGGCCTAAYTGGCATGTTATCTAGTCCATCAGCAGAAGGCAACATGTAATGTATTGTTGGCCTTGGCCATGGCCAACAATAATCTCTGAGGTAGGAGACCTTGGAAAATGATCAGTATTAACCATWGGTCAGTATCGATACTGAACCAAAACCAAAATTTCAGTATCGACTGGGACTGCCTAAATTCARTTGTCAAACAATTTTTGTTTTTGACAAAAGGGCTTATTACAACYCAGATAATTAAAACTAGTCACTATGAACACACGCTGTTACGTGACATTACTAGTGGTGTCACCAGAAGTTAAGAGTTCCTTATTCTGTGTAATATTGTGTTAACACTTGATGCTGTTTTGTGTTTTATGTATCTTGTCAAAACTGTCAGCTTTGACAATCAAAATCATATGTAATCTGTAGAAACAAGTCTGATTAAAGGAGAACTAGAATATTGTTTTCCTTCATGGGGCAACTTTAAAGAATTCTTTCAGGAAGTCTTTTCATAACTAAAGGATTTACAGAGACTACTTTTTTTCATCACGAGATATGACTTATCCTTTGAATGATAATTGGGCTTTTCTTTTTTTTTTATTCAGAGCTGGGCTGACGTTAGGAATGCAGTCATCAGAAGCAGAATAATTCTCTTTAAACCAGAAATCTGCATTATATTTTCTTCTTACATACAACTTATGCTGTATCCACTGCAATGAAAGAGGTGTAAATACTCAAAATCCTGCAGCTGAAAAAGTGTCAAATGTTGAGTGTGTAGCAATCTTTGCACTGCTGATTCCCAGATGACTTTGCAAGCCACACTTTGTTCCATTTTCCTGCAAGAGTAGTGTTCCCTCTATTCAGTATTCAAGATAGCTGCATTCTACATAGCAGACCACAGTGTAGTGCTACCTCCTCCTCTTTTTTTTTCTTCCTTACAGGAAACATGCTCAGCCTTCACACTATCAATGTCCATTACGACTTAAGAGGTTGCCAATCCTATTAATTTTTAGTTTACATGCAGCCTCTTACTATATGTYATCTTCACAGGTAATGATTAACATTAGAGCATTATAGGCACCAAAAGTCTTATTTATATTATAGGTTACTCCAGTGGCGCACTCTTTTAATAGGTCACCAAAAGAAATAAGAAAAATGGATTTAAAATAATTTTTTTTTGCAATGGTAATTATACTATAATGAAGGAGTAAAAATGATTTAGGAAATTGCAAATGCTATGCTGATTGCTCAAAGTCTATATTAACTTGTTAAAAGAAAAAACTCTRCTTTTTCATACCTTCTATACAGCATTGTTTCAGGCAGTGTGGTGTCTGTCTCTTTCAGACAAGAGCAAGTCAGTGTTCTGTATCAGAACATACACATAGTGGAACCAAGATTAATCCAGCCTTATGAACATGTCATTAAGAACTTCATCCGAGAGATCAAACTTCAAAGTACAGAGATGGAAACCTTAGCTATTGCTGTGAAAAGGTATAGTAACTCTTGTTTCTAGTTCACCTACACAGTTACTTTTTTGTCCATCACAGTTGGCTATGTAAACTACTGTGAGTCAATGCCAACAGGTAGCAGTCTGTGCTCTCTGAGCTCAGTCTGTGAGCTCCTAAGTACATATTGCATCTTGCAGATGATTCCTTACTTACATTTTGGACCAAATTTTTGAAGCTCTGTTCATGTGTATAATATATAAAATATTTTGGTTTCTCCTCCTTTGCTGTAACATTGAGTTTTAGCATACATTTGTAGTAAAAGTTCATTTAACAAAAAAAATTTTTACTTCACCAGCTTCAAGGGGTGTATTTTCCTATTTTAACTATCTGGTATTTTTGACCTGGCAATATGACTATCAAAATCAAATAGGTTAAACCAGAGGGATAGAAGTTTTGTGTGGTAACGAAAGATCTTATAGTTATCCTTTTGAAATCTATTCATAGAAAAGCAGAGGGGGCCTTACGTCTCTGTAACTTAACGTTTAAAAAGCATATGTGATTTATTTCGTACTAAAAATCTATTGTCTACTATTATTTAAAATCTAATTTGCCTGTATTTTCAAAACAGTTTGTGATTTTGGCTCCCAAATGCATTCCTTCCAAAGTTCAGACAGCATTCAGCTGTTTCTATGTCTGTCTAATTTGAATTAGATCTGTAGGCAGATGTGTTTTATACATTTTCTACAAAGCCAAAGGGTGATTCATAATCCTGTATTTACTTTTAAATTTTAGAGCTCAGGATAAAGCTGCAGTTCAGCTTAGTGAGCTCGAGGAAGAGATGGAACAACGGATACAGGCTGCAGAGCATAAAGTTAAAAAGGAGGTGAGTATTTTGTATTTAACTCTCAGCGGTCTTTAGAAGAGCTCATGACCAAGTGAATCTTTGATTCTGAATAAAGTGATGAAGTAGAAGAATGTTTCTGAGTCCAGTATTGGAAAAAGACTGGAACAATGACAATGGAATTTATTTCTTATGCCAATAGTAGATGGATTTGTGCAGAAATTAAAGGTCAGATCATTTGTTCTTAATCTGTGTATTTGTGAATTTGCCTAGAGCAGTGATTTTTCTTTCTCCTGCTTGTACATTCAGATTCTGTAATTACATTTTTGAGAGCTGTAAACAAAAGGGAAGATATTTTTTATGAAGGTATATGAAAGTCTGGACCTCTTGAAATTGATGGGAAACCTCTCTTCTTTCACTGCCCTGAAGTTTCAGACATTGTTTTAGCCGATATATAGACCTGAGGGCAAAGTATATGAGTCCTCTTTACTGAAAGATGTAGACCAATCCTAAACTGTTACTATTCAAATATGATAAATCTAACTTGGAAAGGAAAATAAAATGCAAAGAATAAGAATTCTTGTAAAATGTTCAAACATCAACATTTATTATAAATAATAAATTATAAGTAATTATAATTACAAGTCGTTATTGTTCTGGTAGGACACACAGTATACTGAACATTTTGGTATGGGTTCTTTAACCAAAACCTTTGCAGAATAAGAAGCAGCAAGGTGCGAGTAGCAAACTTGTTGGTTTTGAAGAGCTTACCATTAAACCCACAGATCAGTTTCTRTATTCAGATTAGTTTCAAACTTGATCTTTTTTATACAGAGGGAAAAATTCCTACCATAACATGAGTCAGTGGTTTTCCTGCAAATAAAATATAATAGCAAAAAAAGTTGATGTATCACTCTAGGAGAAGCCATGTATAATAATGTATTTAATTAATGATGGTGCAATTCTCAGCTATATCTCCTTTCAGCTAAATGTTTCCTTATACCTCTCAGCTATATGTTTCCTTTTTAGAGAAACAGTAGACATTTGTATTCAAGAAACAAATATRTTTGTTTTAGAAAAGGTCCTTTCTGTAAAAAAGGAATGTTTAATTTATTTCCCATAAAATGGAAACAAAATTGAAGAATCTTATACAGTACTGTAAAGAGATGACTTGGAAATGTGTATCCATTTAAGAACATCCACAATTTATGTAATAGCAATATGTAAAAGCAGTTATATATATTATCCCTTCATATTCAGTGTTTTCATGTTCTAAAAATAATGCTTCATGATTCAGTAAAATTCGTTGCAGTTTGCAATTGAATGCAATTGAATGCAAGTGAAAGATCAGTTCTTTGGCTTGATGCAGAGAAAGAGAGAGAGAAAGAAAGAAAGAGAAAGAGAGAAAGAAAGAAAGACAAGGAGGAGCCTGAAACCTTCATCAGTTTTAAGTCCTCAATTGTCGTTGACATGTCCCCCAGACGGACCTGGAYAGACTGGATGACTGGGTGGTGAGAAATCTCATGACGTTCAACAAGGGCAAGTGCAGGKTGCTGCACTTGGGGAGGAATAACCCCGGACACCAGTACAGATTAGGGGTGGACCTGCTGGAGAGCAGCCCCGCAGACCTGGGTGTCATGGTGAACAACAAGTTGACCATGAGGCAGCAGTGTGCCCTGGTGGCCAAGAAGGCCAACGGGATCCTGGGGTGCATTAAGAAGAGCGTCTCCAGCAGGTCGAGGGAAGTGATCATCCSCCTCTACTCAGCCCTGGTGAGGCCACATCTGGAGTACTGCGTCCAGTTCTGGGCTCCCCAGTACAAGAGGGATGTGGAGCTGCTGGAGAGAGTCCAGCGCAGGGCTACCAGGATGATCAGGGGCCTGGAACATCTGCCCTATGAGCAAAGGCTGAGGGAGCTGGGCCTGTTCAGCCTGGAGAAGAGAAGGCTGAGGGGGGACCTGATCAGCGTGTATAAATACCTCAAGGGAGGCAGTGAGGAGGAGGGGGCGGCCTCTTTCCAGTGGTGGACAGCGATAGGACTAGAGGAAACGGCCACAAGCTGAGGCACCAAAAGCTCCACAGGAACTTAAGGAAACATTTCTTGACAGTGAGGGTGACAGASCCCTGGCACAGGCTGCCCAGAGAGGTTGTGCAGTCTCCTTCTTTGGAGATCTTTAAAACCCACTTGTATGGAGCCCTGTGCCCCGTGCTCTGGGTGACCCTGCGTGAGCAGGGGGGTTGGACTAGATGGTCTCTGAGGTTCCTTCCAACCTTAAGCATTCTGTGATTGTATGGTTCTATGTGATTTGGTATTTTCACCTTTCATGCTTAGAGGTAAATAAGATGAGCTGTTATTTATTTCTTGTAGTGCTCTCTACATTTTTACTCCTGAGCGTTCCATTTAACTTATAACTCCACATACTCCACCCAGTAAAACGCCCTGAGAGTAAATGTAGGATATTTACTTTGTGGGATTGTATTAAGCTGTTAATCTGGTGTCTGTACTCAATACTATTGTTTGTCAAAATGATCTCATTTCATACAACTGCGACACCTCTCTCTGCATGATAGTAACTGCAGATTGAGATACCTATCCATGTATGTGTGTGTGTATATATATTTTCTTTAAAAGAAACAAATAGTTACCAACCAACTCATATGTTAGCAATTTACATGAGTGCCAACAGAAAGAAAATCCAGCCTAAACTGATTACTTTGATTATCATTATAACACATGGTGTCATTATAACATAGGAAAGAAGAGAATTGTGAGCAAAGTCACTGCCTGTCTGTCTGTTTCCTCCTAAAAACCCTGCTTGTCTCATTGACAGCACGTGTTAGTGCAGAATAGTTCTTCTGTAGTTAAATTCTGTACTTAAATACCAGGGAGTGACTGGAGCGAGTTAAAYGCGTGCCTGTGCATAGCCCTGAGAACGTAGCATTTTTTTGTTGTCCATTCAAAACTGTACTGGAGGTTGCTTCCTTTCAAAATCTCTAAGCTTGATTAAAACAATCACAAATTTTAATATTTGGTCCAAGTTTACATGAAACTGCGTTTGTTAAGGATGCTGTCATCCACTTACTATTAACAAAACTTGGGCTTATAATACTGAAACATTTAAAAGGGATAAATTTCAAAAGATAGACAGATATAAATAAATAACTGGTGGTGGTACAGCAATGTTATTATTAGAATGTTGTGTTTTAAACCATAGAAGGGTGGCTTTTTGTATATAAATGCAAACATGGAAAATCTGAACGAATTTCAGTTTTATTTAAGACATTGGGAATGCTAAGCACAGGAGAATATGACACAAATAAGACCACTGTTTAACCATATTTTTGCTTTCAACTGCGTAGTATTTCATTTCTGCGACTATTTCATACTCGTACATAAATAGCAATACTAGAATCAATGTCTGCGGATCCYAAGAAAGGTGCCTATTGATGTAACAGAAAGACAAAATTACACAAATAACCAAAGAGAAAAATTCTGTCTTTTTCAAATTGACGGGTGCATTTTTTTAAAGAAGCATTGAAACCTGTCTTGACTCTTAATAACGTAACATATTACAGGAGAAAAGAAAAGCTGAAGAAGCACTGAATGAACTGAAGCACCAATATGATACAGAAGTTGGGGATCTTCAGGTGACAATAAAAAAACTGAAGAAGGTAAGTAGCTTAATATGGTAAGAAATGCTGACCTAATGAAGTGCCTTAGTCACAACTAAGTGACTAGTGAAGTGACTAGTGAAGTGCCTGGATAGTCACAACTCTAACTTTTTAATTTTATGTGTATTAGTGACAGGTAACTTTATAAAAAGAAGTTTTATGCTGTGTTAATAGTAATATTGCAATTACATTTTTGCTATTTGATACATAATTAAAGGTTTTCTATATTGCTTCTAAGCATTTGCGATTAATAGAATTAGGTGAAATTGACAAGACCAAATATAGTAATGTACTGTATTATAGTAATGTAGTGTCTTTTGGCAAACAATTCCAGCTCTGTCAATATTGGAAATGTTAATGTTAGAGGTAGATTTAAATTGTAATTTCAAAATGAAATCAGAAGTAGAAATAGTTGTTATTAGTCTCAATGTAAGTCTAGAATGAATTTTACATTTACTRTTTAACCCTATAAGATAAACTAATATGTCAGCTGTGAATAGTGTTTGGGGTTATTTTGTAATCTAGTTTTAATTTTATGTTTGTCTTCTACTTTAAGTGTTAGCAACATCATAACAACCATCAAGATCCTTATTAAATTACAGCATTAATAGAAATGAATAGGCTCAAGAGAAATAATGAAAGCTTGTGTTACAAATACTGTGGTTTGGCATTGATGGTGGTAGGTTTTTTTTCATAAGTTAGCTTTTATGTCACTAGTAACACAGAATAAAAACTTCTAACAAATCTAAGTTTTAAAGTATTCAGTTAAAAGTAAATTATGAAGATAGATATTTTTAAAAGAGATGATGCTTACTTATGCAGTAGGGAAGTGTATAGATTTTAAAAACTGCCATAGCCAAACACATTTAGGATTAATTTATTACAACATCAGTTACTTCTTATGTTATTTGAATTGAAACAGTAAAGAATATACCTTAATTGTTCATGTGGTTATTCCTTTAGCTGGAGGAGCAATCCAGGAACATAAATCACAGAGAAGATGTGGTTGAACTGAAAAAAAGGATGCATGATATGTTGATGGTAAGAGATGATATTCATTAACATATTAGTTTAGCCTTAATGTTCAATATAGATTGTTCTTTCACATTTTTTTCCTGCTGTTTCAGTGATAAAGCTAAGTAATTTGTTTTCTAAGTTGTTGGTRGGTGTCTGTGAATCTTCATCGTGAGGGGAATAAAGTTCTATTTATATGGATACACATTGCAGGTGTAATATTTAAAATGGCTTGGAATTAGTCTCATTTTTGGATTGCAGAAATTGAAAAATCATATTCGGTAATGTTCTTGGATGTTAGCTTATTGATTAACATAATTTTAATGGTTTTTATTTTAGCATTACAAAATGTCAGTGTTCTATAGAAGTGACTTGGCAGCATCTAACTGATATCTTTCTCTTTTTCTTAAGGAAAATCAGAAACTTAAGAAAGATCTTTTAGAAGCACAGACAAATATAGCTTTTCTACAGAGTGAATTAGATAGTTTGAAAAGTGAATATGTAGATCGGAGTTTGAACACTGAAAGGTAAGATACTTGCATGATATTTTCAAAGCTGGAATAATTCTAGTATCTATTGTAATTATTATATATGCAGTTAATTTTATTTTCTTAATTTGCCATAATGGACAAGTGTGCATATTGACAATGTGCACAGTACACCATAAAAACAGGTCACTTAAATTATGAAGTCTCTGAAGGAGCAAGTGCTTGACATGATAGAAACTCTCATAAAGATAAGCTCACTAATTTTACTGATATTTCAATTAGAGTAAAAGTTTTAGTATCAGATCCTTTCTTTCCGTCATGACTTTGACTTGGATGAAAAGCTCTATGAATTTCAGGGAAAATAAAGTTAGAAAATCTTCCCCCACAGTCTCAACTATATTTTTCTGAAAGCAAACAAGAGCTGCGTCTGTATAATCATATTTTTTCAATGGTATCTATATGACAGTTTTACAGTTCTATTATATTCAGTCAGTTTTTGTTGACATATGCTGTCTGACATCAGCAAATTTATCAAATTGTTTTCTTCTGCATAAAATGGTTTTTAATATATTTCAGCAATCTGAAATGTATAAAGAGAAAAATCTATATTCAAAAATATCTGAAAACATACCTTTTCACCAGTATATTTACTGCCTTTCAAAAACATTGACTGTTGAGTTTTGTCCTCTTGTAATGCATAATAAAGTATAAGCATAATAAAGCATAAAAACAGTGAAAGGACCTTTATAAAGAGTAACTTTTTTTTTTTACAGAGATCTAGAAATGATTCGAGAGTATACTGAAGACAGAGATAACCTGGAAAGACAAATTGAAATGCTTCAGTAAGTTAACAACAATTCATACTTTTTAAACAGATTTTATCCAAAACTGTTCAGGGGTAAACAATTTTCCAGCTATGTAGAATATTTGGATGGAAGTTGAGAAAAAAATTGAAGTCAAATATGGAAATTACCTTARTTCTTATAGAAAATACCTTAAAAATGTGTATCATTTTATCTTAAGTTTGTGATCCTGTATTGTTGTGCTGATTGCTCATGTGAGAAGAACAATTGCTCTGCCATCTAAGTTTTGCTTTCTTCCATGCTGTTCTTTCAAAAGGGAAAAATGGCATATTACATGATTTCTCTTCAAAACCTCACTTCTAGAAATCTGCATTCATTTGGAGTGACATTAATTGCCTTCTTGATTTTCTTTTTTTACCCAAAAAACTGTGCACAGGGTGTTTTTTGTTTTCTGCATGAAAGTTTTTAGCAGTATGTCGATGATGCCTCCATATGCTTTCTAAAACATTTTTCTATTTTTTTCCTCTCTTCTTGTTAAACAGAGACATAGAGGATTATCTAATGCCATTATCTTTTTAAGCAGAACTCTTCACTGATTTAACTGACCCAAAAGGATTAGCCAAAACTGGCACTTTCTTGAATTCAGTATTTGGAAGTGTGTGACTTCTGAGTCAGTAACTGTTTTTTTTGTTGTTTGTTTGTTTCTTTTTTTTTTTTTTTTTCCCCGCTGCTTCATTAGTATTAGTCTGTTTGTAATAACCTGAATGAGACCTGTGCTATTTTCATTATTATTACTTGGCTTCTATTTTATTGACTGCATTGCTGGAGTAACTCCCCTTCTTATCATTAGCTGAAAGTACTAAGTGTGTGCATTGCTGAAGAAGACACTCCCAAATATATTTTTTGTTTTCAAGGGGCATCGCAGTGAATAGTATTGTATCTTTAGTTAGTTTCTTTATCGTAATCTTTGTTTTTCTCAGGTAGCTGAACTTGCTGTAGCTTGAACACCTTAGCATTCTCAGCAACCATTAAAGTGCACTCATATTTTATCTCAAAATGGCTGTTCAAGTTTACTGCCCTGTCGTGGTTTGTTACAGCTTTTTTTTGAGTTTTATCTACTTTTCATCAGCTGACACTGTGTTATATCACATAGGTGTAAAGTGAAACAGTGTTTCCTAAGCTATTACTTGAGTTTAAAATTCTCAGTGAGCTTTTTTTTAGTCTACAATAATTTTAATAGATACAGCAACATAGTTCTGTCTCAAATTACTCCTTAGAACTCAACTAAGGGGAAAAAAAAGTTTTTTGATACATATTTTTTTCAGATTTACTTTGCTATAAGTTATATATTAAGATTGTCTTTGGTGTACTTTTCCAAATTAGACTGTGTTTCTCTATTAGATCAGCTAATAGGAAACTACATGACAGCAATGATGGATTGAGAAGTGCACTGGAAAACAGTTTCAGCAAGTACAACAGATCACTGGTATGTAGCTATACTGTATTTTAATACTACTTATATATTTTAATTGATTTATTAAGCAATATAATTTTTGAATCTAATATCTAATTATTATTATAAAACATATATTTACGTTTTACTAGGAGATTTTACAAGTAATTCTTTGAAAGCAAATTTGTTTGTACTTTGGTACATTTTCATTGGTTCTTTTCAGTAAATTCATCTTCAGCTAAGTGGTTTAGTTAGTTTGCTTGGATTTGGCAAAATGCCATGGCTTATGTTAGAGCACAAATACTTTCTGAGGTGCTTTAGAAAATGGTAGTTTTTTGTATGCAGTGGCTAAATATATCTGATGAGGTGAGCCGTCTGTTTCCTTTGCACTGAAGTGAATGTGTTTRTTTGGTTTATTGGAAGTGCTCTACAAATTGAAAATATGCTTTCTTAGGAAACTGCTGTCCTCTTAGCAAAGTCTTCTTGCCTTTATGAAGGCAAGCTACTGAACAAAAGGAAGGCAGGGACCACTGGTAGCAGAGGAGCTCAGATTGTTTGTCACTATCTCTGTTATATCAAGGTCTATTTAACAGTTACAGGCTACTGTTCTCCAAACCAGAGCATGGAAGGATTGAAGACAATGAAAATGCCTATCTTAGTTTGCTATTTTTTCATACTAGAAAAGCTTTTTAACTCCAAAACCAATTATTAGGCAAGGCTTATGTCACTGGAAAACCAGTCAATTGTTTCAGAAAGACAGAGSTGGAACAATAGAGACAATTGGAGTCTGACAATACTGGTCAGAAAGGAGGAAAATAGCACTGGTTGTGTGTTTCCAGCATACCACGTTAGTGAATGAGGGAGTCTTTTTCCGATATAGTCTCCCAGAGGTTCACTACAGAGGCAGCAAGAGATACTRTTTCTTTCTTCTCTTCCCTGAAACATAATGAAAGTTACAGAAAAAAAGAGAAGAAGCTGAATTCTCAGAATGAATTTAAAGGTGCGAGGGCAAATGCATGAAAGACTTTGTCACAGACTGTCAGTTGAGATCACTCTTCTCCACAATCCTATTGAAGAACCAGAAAGTATCTCTACCATAGCTGTCTCCACTAGTGACATTTCCTTTTCCATCTTAGTTATCAATATGTATGTACTGGCCATCTTTTAAAAAACACAAGGAAAATCCTCTTATGTGATCAATAAATATGACTCTTCCAAGTTCATTATTTCATCGTGCCAGAGGAATAGTCATTGACATCACTTTTTCGTGGGGAATGCTGTTTTTTTGTCATTGAGTGACCGTCAGATGAGCCTAAGTGAAAGGTATAATGTGCTACATGTAGTGCAATGYAATCCAATAGCATTTGTAGGAAGAGAATTAATTAAAAATAAGCAGTTGAATAAATATGAAAATGTGCAGTAGTAGTTTTGAGGATTTACACTTTTATCATGACAAATCTGGATGCTTAAACTGCTTTTATCAAACCTAACATGTACTTGTTATGTGTCTGTTGCAGCGGCTAGCAAATACCTCACCAGGAAATACCATTTCTAGAAGCAGTCCCAAATGTAGTGGTGGACAATCACCTCTAAACCCACGCTATGACAGGTAAGGCAGTTTTGATTTTTACTAATCTTAAAAGAACATAAAAATGCAAATATCCTAGAAGAGCAAATACTGTTAGATCACAGAATAATTTGATTCAGGAAAAAAAAATACTGATCCACAGCATTGGATCCAAAGTGTACTGAAATCAACTTTTCAACCTTTCAACTTTCAGTCAACTGAAATCAATCTTTTAATGACTTCACATAGCTCAGGCCAACTCTTTTCAGTGCTAACTAATGATATTATACAGAATTCAACCAATTMTGGTTTGATCTTAGATTATTTTGATTTTCATTTGTTTATCAGTCTCTCTCCTGACCTTCAAGTGCCAAAAGAGTTCTGAGGGCTCTTATTAAGTATTTTTCTCAGTACTTGGAAAACAAAGTACTCTTTATTCATATCTTTTTGCCTCCTTGTCAATTTTTTTTCCTATGTAATAATTTTTACAAAGGTGAAAATTTGTGTGTAATTCTTCAAATAAATAGCAACGTCATCTCCTTGTGATTTGCAGGAGTTGTAGGTTGAATATTAACAGAATAAGAGACACAGAGATCAGAAAGTTGTCTAAATGCAAATGATCAGAGCTACTTTGGTTTTATACTTACTGGACTGAAGTAATCGATCAGAACTTCCTCAATTCACTGCAAAGACTGTTGTTGTCCTCAGTTGTGCTGCTSTCTGCCTTAGATGCTCTAGAACACCATTTTTATTTATTTTTTTAGTGGCTGGTACTGCCATTAAAACTATGTGTTTTACTGAAGATATTGTTTTATCTTATTCCTTTGGTGTTATTTCAAACTCTACAGAAATTCTGAATAGAGTTCGTAYGTAGCCTGTGTTTTATATTTTTCTTGTAGGAACAATATTTTTTATAATGATTAAGTCGACTTTCATTTTATGCTAATAATACCCAAATTCATTCAGTACTGTTACTAACTCTGTGATCTTCATGTGAAAAATATGTTTGCTGGCTATAAAATTTTACTTGCCATAAACTGAATCCTTCTGCAGAGTGTAGTTAAAACCTGTTCCCTTATACTGGATACTCTGCAAATTTTGAAAGATGTGTCTATTACTAAGCTGTACTGTGGACTGAATAATTTTCTGAGGTTTCTAGGGAAGGAGTGAGTAAAAYGTATTTAGGAGGATTATTGATACTCTTCTTTGAGAATATTTATTAGTATCTGCTGTTTGGTGCAWTTTTTTTGCATTTGAATGGAAGTGAGAAATACAAGTATCTTCAGAAAAGAAATTTATGTACTGGGGATAAAACTTACTCATAACTGGCACAATTTAGTAGCATCGAAGTAGAGAGTGAAAATGAATTTCCCCAAATACCTTGTTCACATACAGAACTCTGTCTCCTAACATCAGATCATTGCACAGAAATACTGATTTGCATTTTATTATGCTTTAAGCAATTACATTCCTAAGTATATTTTTTTAGTTACATAATATGTCTTAGTCTAAGCTGCTTTAAGCACATATGAAATTGCCATCTTGGAAGCCATGCTTCAGTGATGTTGAAAATTGACTAATAAAGAACTTTATTTCAGGGAATGCCTGACCAGCTTAACTTTATTAAAGCCTGTCCCTTTTTCATATTTGAATGATTTGCTGTAGGTTTGTGGGTGCTTGGATGCAAGTAGGGTGGACGTTGCAGTATTTCTAAGCAAAATAACGCTTGCTTACATGAATATATAGTATGCTGTGAATGTGGAAATAAGGCAGTCCTGAATGTTGTTGCAGTAAAAAAAATGTTGCCTCTAATATCTCTGGTTAGTCATTTGCAGGAAAGAATTATACAGGACTCATTAACAGCTTCACAATCCTGAGAATCCCCTCAATGTGCCCTTCTGTAGGGTAATGTTGTGTTGGGCACACCTGACTCCAGCAGCAAGCTACCYTTGCAAGGATCTTTACTTTCCTTGACCTTAACTGTTGAAACAGTTCAGTCCTACCTATTCATTACCAAAGAAAGGGCCAAACTGGTTTCCTTCTATCTACCAAGGCTTTGAGACTTTTTTTTTTTAACCTCATTTTAGTTTGTGTCTTTCCTACTCTCGCTGCAGGAACTGAGTAATGATTGCCACCATAATACACTTTTTAAAGAGCTTTATTCTTTAAAGATTCCCTCTGATCATCTTTCTTCTCTGCCACTACTTTTGCACAGATAAAAGCTTTTTCTTCTTCTCTGTAAACCATACYGTCATTGCTGCCACCGTTTAAGTATCCTTACATATTATGATATCCAGATCAAAAAAAAAGATGTTACTTTGAAGAAGAGAGTGGGAAAAAATGGACTTCTATATAGTACTTCAGGTTTTAAGGTATTAGAAATATTTAAAACAATCCTGTAAGCAACGATTGGACARTTCATAATTGGGGCATTGCTCACTGTAAACCAATAATGGCCATCCAAGTACAGGCCAATGTTTATTCTAGTTGGGAATTTTTGACCCATGGATTGGGTGAGGATGCACCGAGGAGTGCAGGCACTGTCCAGCAGAATGGGAATCTTGGTCATATATAATTGGTTACTGTCCTGCTGTCTAAGACTAAAAGATGTAACAATTGTTTGGCTTGCTGGCAGAAGAGGCAAAGAGACTGGCATGGGAGATTTTTACAGAATCCGATCTCAGAGATAACAACAATGAACTCTTCAAACCAGATTTGATAATGGTGAAAGGAACCCATGCAAAGGTGGTGGATATTACCATCCGCTATGAAAGTGGGGTTGACAACTTTGAGTGATTAACATCAGCTGCAGAAGTTGAATTCTTGGATTTCCCAATTGGTGCAYGGAGGAAATGGTATATGGGCAATGGAAAGCTCCTCCCCGACTTTGGGCTCTCGACAAGTTGTTGTTAAAGGACTGTGAGAGTCTTTTCACAGAGAGCTCTCCTATCCTCAGTGGACATTTTACATATTTTTGTGAGTTGAGGTAAGAAGGCTTAATAGGTTGCTTACAACTAGGGGCAGTGTGTTTAGTTAACTGTTTCCTTGACAGAAACACCAGTCAAAAATATTCCTTGTCTTGCCTCTTTATTCTAATGAGTAACATCTAGTCCTTTCTGGCATGAGCAAAATTCTTCACGTGGATGAGAGAGCTTTTTCTGTGTTCTGGATCTGCTAAGTTTTGCCTTTGCCCTGTTTCCTTGCTGTGGTAGGGACAGTGACATACCATCTCATCCTGAATGCTGTGTCTATTCAAAACTGGTTACAACAAGGCAGACAGGCCACCTTATCAAATTAGCCAAAAAAGGTACCTTGTAAATTACAAGGTTCATAAAATTAATGCTTTAAGTTTTACACAGTCAAGTAACTTGTGAGGCAAAGCTTGTTTCTGTACCTTGTGCCTTGCTGAGATTTTGATCTCCTTTGCGTCCTGTTCTGTAGTGTTTTTGTAGTGTTTGTATCAGGAGCATTTGTAGTGTTAACTGATTGGTCAGTGCATCAAGCTGTGAGATAAGAGATGGATGTATTTATATAAATTAAATATGGCAAACCAAGGTAATTTCCCATATGCAACATTAGCAAAACCCTCAGCACTGAAGTATGATTTTTCTGCCTTTAGTATCATGACAGTACTTTATTTTCTGACTCTCTTTAAAAGTTACTGTAAATATGAGCAAGTCTTCATTTGTAATCTTGGGAAGTGATTGTCAATGAGAGATTATATAAACAAATCTGAACATGAAGAGATATAATAGAAAAGACTCTTTAAGAGAGAAGGCAAAATAGGTTAGTGACATATTGCTTACAATATGTAGCTGGCATTTCTATCTGTTGACCATTTAGGAATGCATTAGATTTTGTTAAAAGAATTGTAATTTTTTTTTTTTTAATATTTCCTACTAGATCATCTCATTCATCTTGTGTGGATGAAGATTATGATTCTTTAGCTCTTTGTGACCCTATGCAAAGGATAAACTGTGATGCTGACAGCTTACCTGAGAGCTGTTTCGACAGTGGTTTGTCTACCCTGAGAGACTCCAATGAATATGATTCGGAAGTGGAATACAGGCATCAAAGGATTATTCAAAGGCCACAGTGTATGCAAGACAGCTTTGGTGGTGATGCTTCTGATACTGATGTAAGTGCTAGACTTACTGCATTTCTAAGAACAACTTTGGCTGGAATCAGCTTTYWTTTATTTATTTATTTATTTRTTTGTTTGTTTGTTTTAAGTGAAAAGGATCTTTGCCCTAAGTATTTCAGTTATGTGCATTTCAATGCACATCACAATGTGCATAGCATCACAATGCTGATAACTTTTCTGTAGAATTTTATTCTTATAAAGCTGTATTAAAAAAAGCAAACTTGTTTTAATCATTTGGTTAGAATTCAATTGGTAATTTGCTTTTCAAAATGCAATTTGTACTTTTAAAGGTTTTTAAACCCCCTGTTTAAGTCTATTTTCTAGTTAAAAAGTAAACTTTGTAAAACTTTGCCTTCATGAATAAAAACTTCTGTTATCTGTATATGATCTAAGCTGCTAAAAAGAGACATTTCATTCAGTCTTAGTTCTGTCTTTCCAAAAAAAGGAGAAACAAAAAAAAAGACCAAACAAGCATAYTTAAAGCATACTGTATACTTAAAACATACTTTACTCACTGGAGCTATCAAACTGCCCTGTACATTCAGGTTCCGGAGATCAGAGATGAGGAAGCATACAGTCCTGACAACAGCAGTACTATATTAGACTGGAAACCTTCACAACCCGTAAGTCGAAGCAGCTCGATAGCTTCCACGAGGAAATACATATCTGCTATTCCGCCTCAGGTAACCAGTTATGAAAAAAAACAAAACAAAACAAACAAACAAAAAAAATACCCAGAATTATATTGTGAGATTTCTTAAATGAGTGAATGAGATAAATCCTTTTTATTTTTCAGTCAGATGTAAGGGAATGTGCTCCAAAATACCYGAGCTCAGAGAAAGCGTACAAGATAGTTCTTGCTGGAGATGCAGCAGTGGGGAAATCCAGCTTCCTTATGAGACTTTGCAAGAATGAATTTCGAAGCAATACCAGTGCAACCCTAGGTATGTTGTTTTCTTCTCAAACTGCTAAAGTGAGTTTTAATAGTATTCAGCAGCAGTGATTAGTGGAAAGAACAAGCTCTGTGATCCTCAAGAATTTTCTGACTATACACCTGCAGTTTCTCACCCTGTAACATCTAAACGACAACTAAAGCCTGCAAGTGTGTTACTGCTAATTAGAGGGAAGGRTACTACTTCAATTTAGTTTGCCTGTATAAAGCACAAAATCTGTTTCAGAACAATGCAAAGCACCAATAAAGGAAGTTTTACTGTGATATTGTGATATTTTAGAACTTGTTTAGAATTTTTTTTTGCATTTTCTGTTGCTGTCCTTTAATCTCAGCTCTTTCCTGCTTTTTTAATCTTTCAGACTTTTGAGTTTTTTGATTCTACTCCTGATCTCCATTTCTTCAAAATGTTATTGAAGCTTTAGTTTATAAGCTGCTGGGTGGATTTCTATGTATATTACTATAACCAWCACCTAACAAACTTGTCTTATTGATTCCAAACAGTAAATTTTCATCTTGTAGTGAAATGATAGCTGTGTATATTTATTTTATTTCTTTTGAGTTGGGATTTTTGTTGCAGTTGATTTTTTCATTGATGTTTGAAATAAAATGTTTCAAAAAGTAGACTTTATGTTTTTCCACAAAACTATTTGGTAAAATAAAGAGGAATCTTACTGTTCCTTTGTCATAACACCAGATTTATTTCAGTGCTTCTGAGAAAAACATGTAGGCAAAACATTCCTTTTTTTTTTTTTTTAATCAAATGGAATATTAATTCCTATATTCAGGGTATTATTGTATTTCAGGGTTAAAGGAACTATTGAAATTTCACAATTTATTGAAAGAGATATCACTTGAAATAACAATTGTGCCCTTTTATATGGAACATTGCTCTTTATTTTCTGTGTATCTGTAAATGTTACTGCATTTTTAAAGATTTATTGATTAGACTGTACACGTTCTTTCAGGTGTGGATTTTCAAATGAAAAGATTAGTTGTGGATGGAGAACCTACAGTACTACAACTGTGGGACACAGCCGGGCAAGAGAGGTTAGTGATTCTCTACAACATCAGTAATTTCATTTGTGTTGTTTCTAAATGGCGTTTACCTTTTTTCATCTAAGTGCAAAAAAAAGGGCAAAAAATATTACATGACCTTATTGTAGGTAGATCAGTATTGGCCACGTGTGTCTGCATAGAGATGTGATTTTGTTCTGCTGTGACAGAGACAGGCGGAGCGTTTATCTGTTCACTGTGGTGATGTGTTAAAGATTACTTCTTATCTATGCATGGAGTACTGGTTGAGAGTCAACATTAATAAATTATGTCCACATGTCTCTCTTAGGACAGGAGAAATGGCCTCAAGCTGTGCCAAGGGAGGTTCAGGTTAGACATTAGAAAGGATTTCTACATGGTGAAGCCTTGGAACAGGCTGCCTAGGGCAGCGGTGGAGTCACCGTCCCTGGTAGCGTTCAAGAAGTGTGTAGATGAGGTGCTTAGGGGCTCGGCGTAGCAGGCAGGACGCTGAGGGGCTTGCGGTTGCACTCGCTCTTGAAGGTCTTTTCCAACCATATGATTTTGTGATTCCCTGTCTTAGATTAGTTTGATAAGATGTTGTAGGAGAACTTTGCTTTTTCTATTGCTTTCTTTGCCCTTATAGACTTGCATTTCTGAGCATGCTCCACCTTAGCGATTTTCATGACCACTTCCCCCAAAATTCCTGATCCTGATTTTCATCGTATTCAGTGAATGAAATATCTTCTGTCTTCCTGTAAAGACGCTGGGGAGTTATATAACAGATTTGAATTTAATGTATGTCAGGGTTCTTCAAATTATTGTGGCTGGATTTCCACAAAATCCTATGACATCCTCACCAGTGAAGAACTATAACTTCTTTATACAAGTAGTGCCATTGGTACTTTAGAGCTCACTCTGACACTGGCAAAGTCAGTTTAATTTGTCCACAGGTTATGTTCTGTATTGGATCATATGTTTTTACTTCTGTCAAAGTGAGTGGATTGAATGAAGYAGAGACCCAGTTACACTCCTGCTGCATGATAAGTTTGTGAAGAATATTTCTTAAATAACATAAATGTCTACTTGCCATTTTTCATTTATGATAATGGAAGGGACAACTCTTTGTAACTTGATAACAGTATATCTGTAGATTTTTTTTTTTTAGTTTAGTAGTCAAACTTCAAAAAAGTATTTGGTAATTAGCATGGAATCTTATGGGTTTTTATAGAGCATTTGTAGATTTGTTTAAGTAATTTTCAAAAACTTTTGTAAAAATTCAGCTGTGATAAAACACAGAAGATGGGTGCAACAAATCTATTTAGTATTGTAACCAAGTAATGCTATGTTGTTAATGTTGTGGAAGTAAATTTTTTTTCTTTGTAAATGACTTACRTCTTCTTTTTTTTTTCCTAAAAGATTTCGAAGTATTGCTAAATCATACTTTAGAAGAGCAGATGGTGTCTTACTGTTATATGATGTAACATGTGAAAGAAGTTTTCTTAATGTACGAGAATGGGTGGATATGATTGAGGTAAGAACCTTAAAGTATGTACAACTTGCAAGCTGTATTTCACTGCATTGTTACCTTATTCTTTAATGTACAGAAGTGAATATTTCCACTGAGAAAATCATTTTTTGGTTCAGAATTTCAGAGTCTTTTTTAGAGAGACTGGCTTGATTTATAGAGCCTGAATAACTTTCATAACTTTATAATTCATTTATCCAAAATGGAAAGTCTAATAGAAGTGCAAGCAAAAAGGAGTTTCTCAGGGTATTAAACTGTATCCTGACAATTCAATCAGTTGTAAAACTGGTGCATTGTGATGTATTGTATAAAATAGTATCATGTAATCACAGCTTCCAAAAACTTACTTTGGAAATGAATATGAATCCTAGATGGTTTCAGATACCCCTCCTAGATGTTTGCAGTATTCCTGTTTTTCTCTGCTTGTTAAAACATGTTATATTCGGTAAGTTGGCTATAGTCCAAGTGAAATTTTCAGTATTTTTTTTGCTAATATATAAATGATATCTATTATATTTTCTTTGCTTCTCTGAATAGATTTAAAGAAAAAGTTTTTCTTCCTATTCTTTCTATATCAAATGCATTTAATAGGGAAAATGACTAGCAAGAACTTAATTTCCTCTTCTGAAAGCTTTTTTTTTTTTTTAATATTACAGTAAAAGAATTGATCTCTTTTTCTGTTGTTAGTTAGTCATATAGCATTTAAATATAGTGACTGTTTCCACTAGAATAATTGGACACATGAAATTTCCTGTCAGCTGTGATGGCTTATGAGAACACATGATCATCTTTGCCAATTCATGTTTAAGCCGCTGTTTAAATTATAGACTTTATAATGAAAACCTCTCATCATGATTTATAAAATATTTTTGTTTGGTAGCATGCCTAGTGTGTATGATTATTTACTTATGTTACATGACAGTATCAGTGATATTTTTGTATTCTGAGTGTTCCTGCAATAAGAAAATAAAATGTGCWTTACAGGATGCAACCCACGAGAATATTCCAATTATGATGGTGGGAAACAAAGCAGATCTCCGTGAAGCAGTTACAGAGCAAGGACAAAAATGTGTGCCTATTAACTGTGGAGAAAAGCTGGCAATGGTAATTTCTATGTTTTCAGTATAAATTGTTCCAGGGAGCTTTAAACTGAAAACTACATGAAATGTTAGTAAGCAAAAGTCGTTTTCTGGTCATTGCTTTGACATTTAATCAGTATTACTGGGTATTTTTCATCAGTTACTCTATTGACTGTGTGATCTGACTGAAATTTCACCCMATGTCCACTGACCTGGCCTTCATTATTGGCTGGCCTATTCTTCAGTTTTTATGGGGAAAAAAAAGATGTGTGAGCTGGGAGAGTGATCTTTTATGCCTTCAGAGAAGAATTGTCCAAATCAGTATGAGGGTTGAGGCTCTCCATCTAACCTGTTCCTGTTCTGTTTGAGTGACATATTTTCATCTTCAAGACACTTTTGTTCCTGCACGTCTGCAGAAAAAAAAAGGGGATGAGGAACTACCTGCTATAAATGAAAGTATTTATATGTGTTTTTTTCCCCCCATATTTCTGACCTGTGTCCTGTATTTTGCAGGACAGGTGGACAATAGGGTATGGAGTGCCTGGACAATGCATTGACAATCAAATGATTGTACTAGGGCGGATACCTTGTCCATTATGTACTGAGTAATATTTCTGTTTAAGCTAGAATACCCCTTGACAGGATAAAGAATGACAATGTGTCTTTAGTAAGCTCTCCCAGTAGCTCACTTCCTGTTTTGCCGTCTGGAGAGCAAGAGATYTAAGGTGAGACTGTGGTTTGTTTCTAACTCGGTCTGTTACCCAAATATTGTGAGCTTAGGAAACTATAATAATAAAATTAAATTTTTTTTGCAATATTAAGGTGACTGTAGTAGAGAATGAAGATGACCAAAATGAATTGTATTCATTTAAGTGGATGTGTAATAATTATCTGGAGTTATGTAGGCAACCATTTGTAAATTAAAATATCTAGATAAAACCATATAGGCTATGCTGGCKTAACATTTTATTTTCTGTTTGCAGACTTACAATGCATTATTTTGTGAAACAAGTGCTAAAGATGGTTCTAATATTGTAGAAGCAGTTCTTCATCTTGCTCGGTAAGCAGCTGTGTTTCTGTTTTCAAATAAATTCATCTGCTCTGTTTTATAAAACGTACATTTTGGACATAAACACACAGACTACTTAGAGTCTTACCATCTTACTATCTCAATACTGGRGCTTACATATGAAAGTCACATTTTTAAACCTGTCTGGTGAATGACATTTTAATGAGATACATGGATWTACTTTCTTAATTCTTTTTTTAATATATATGTGAGTATTTATAAGTTTTAATATACTTTACATATTTTTGCATATAATTAAACAAATTCTTTCAAAATATGAATTTCAGTTCATTTATCAGGTCATTATATTTGATTCCATGATAGAGACATGTGCTGAAAGTTTTGTTTATTCATATGTATTTATTTGTATGCTGTTTTACACAAAGTATGAATTGAACTTGGAAAGTAAAGTAATAATGATAGCGTGCAGTATAAGATATGCTGAGAGAAATGAAATAGTGAACATGAATAGAAGTAAGTTTATTGAGCTTTGTCCCTGTTTATTTATTTATTTATTTACAGGGAAGTGAGAAAACGAAGTGACAGTGAAGATGATACGAGGTCAGTAACCAGCCTGGCTGGGACACCTGTCAAAAAATCGGCGCTCATGAAGAACTGCTGCAGTGTTTGAATGATAGATTCTTTTGATGACTTAAATCATTTACTTGCTATTTAAATAACTTACTATTGTTTAAAAAAGGAAAAATGAAGGATTTCAAAAACACCACCTTTCTACTGTGGACTTACACATTTTTGTATTTAGAAGCTCCGCATCATGGAAAATTAGCTTTTTCTTTCTACTCATTCACATTTTTGCACTTGCTTTGTCCTTTAGGCCCTGATATCACCTTTTGTAAACAATTTAAATGAATGAAATGAATTCAGAATCAAAGCTGCAGTACTCAGTATGTACAAAATTGTATATGTTTTTCTTCCTTTTCTTGCTTGCTTCTTCATGACATCAATATTTCTTATGTAAAAAATATGCTATGGTAAAATCGCACATAGGCAAAGAAATTCCAGCCTTAATTAATTAATTTTAATTTAATATGTTTTTTTTCCTATTTTCTGCTTATTGCTTATCTAGTTTTTTATGGGACTTAAGTTACTCCTTCATGAAACGCTTTCTAGCAAAACTCTAAACTACTGAAAGGTTTTCTAGTTTCAAGTAAAGCCTAAATAAGAGCAGTAGGTGGAATGGGGCTCCATTTGGAGTGCACAGAGTCAGATATGTGGAGTTTTGTCGTARTTGTAGAAATGTTGGTGAGTTAGAATTTTATTTAATTTTGGGACTTTTGATTTGATTCAAAACTGAGAAATAGACTTTTGATTTGATCCTACATAGGCTGGAAATTAAAGGAATATTTGCAAAGACTATCATAGTTCCAAATTCCAGAGAAACTATAGTATCTGTGGTATGTAGGATTAATGATATGAATTAATGACCCCATACATACTAGTCTATATAGATTTGTTTATTACTAGCACTATATAGAGATATAGATTGTCTTTTCTCTCCATTTTTCAGATGTTTTCCATTCAGACACTGACTGAGGAGTTACAATAGTACTGAGGAGTGTGTTTTAACTTTATAATTTTTTTAAGTATTGAATCTGCAGGTAGAAGAATTGCTRCACATGCACAATCATCTGCATCAGCTGTTCATTAAAAGAAATCCCTAGAATGAACAAGAACTGCTTATCTTAATGAGAACAATGCTTGCTGAATGTTAAGAAAACACTGATAATCTCACTAGTGGGTGGTAGGTCTAGGTCTGCCCAACATCTCCAAAATCTAAGATGTTATTGCTTACAAAAGTTCTCAGAGGTCCTATATTGTGATATAATTTGTATGTATTTCTGCAATCAGCAAAAGTCTTTCAATACTTCTCAGGTTTCAGTGATTTTAATTGGAATGAGAAAGGAACCATTCCAGACCTAGTATTTCAGTCTTTTTGTGTATACTAAGAAAACATTTCTGAGGTGAAAACWTCTCCATGGTTCATTAAATCAACCTTGGATGAAGTTTGCTGGACTGATAGGAAGAACATTAAAACTAGAAGCTGTTGCAGTGTGTCATCAATGCTGTATCTGAACCGTATGGCTTTAAAAAAAAAAAAAGTTTTATAAGGATTTTATAGAATGCAGAGTTATCAGAAATAAGATGGATCTTAAAATAAGGAAGGCAGTATCTTAGGCATCCTTTCAAACCTCTTGTCCAGAGCAGCTGGTCCTTAAGCAGCTAACGGGAAGCATATTATAAATTAGACACAGAAAAACATAATGTCAGATGAAATAAGACAACTTCATTTTTTCTTCTTGTAAGGAGAGAATWTATCATCTTCAAAGTACTGAGGCAGTTTTCACATGCAGACCTACCTTACTCCACAGGGGAGATTTCAGGGTTGTAACATTCTGCAGCCCAGCACTGCAGAAGTCTTACAAAAGCCAACAAAAAACCCTACAGTTGCTCATTCCACAAAGGAATGAGATGGAAGTAGAATACACATGGGTTGTATTTACAGATATTCTCTCCTGCAGTATTGGGGAGAGAGGCAGACAATCCTCTTGGTTTCTGAAGAGTAAAATCAAGACCTGCAGGCTTTACAGAGTATGTTACCAGCACAAAAGGATCATAATTATAAGCGATTCTTTTCATTCCAAAGTGTTGTTCATTTGGTGTTATTAATTTTTGTTAATTTCCAAAGTTTAGACTGGTGTGCTATGTGCTTGATATGCTACTGTGTGACAGCTGAACCACAGCATTTGACAGCATCTGTGGCCTTGGGCTGCAGTAAATGAGGTGAAATGTATTTCCAAAGACCTTGTTGACACACCCACATGAAGTGTTTGGAAAGATTTCTGGAAGTAGTTTTGTCCAATTTCCCACTCAAAGCTAGGCTGTTGCCAGCTCTAGATCAGGTCAGCAGTGGCTTACACAGGGAAGTTATGGAAATGCCCRAACACAGTGATCCTGCCACCTCCTTGAACAGTTTGCTCCCATATTTGTGCTCCCACATTTCCTTTGTTGAAAAAAATTTTCCCATGATTTTCCCACATTTTTTAGCCATTTCCACGTTACACTGCTGCTGCCAAGAGGAGTTTGCCTGTGTCCTTTGCAATTTCTCTTGGAGTGGATGTAGGTTATTGGGTCACCTATAGCCTGCCCTTTACCATAGTAAAATTTGTGAGGTGTTGCTTTCGAGTTCCATATCCATGCAGTCAGTAGTGTTTGTGTACATGCAGTTACTGGTGTCTAAGTTTCTTACCCTACAGAGAATGCCATGTCAATATCCATGGCCGTAGAGCACCTAGCTGAAGGAAGTAATTTCAGGGATCTATGTTCACAAGTATTTTTCTCTCTGCAGGACTACACCATAGGCGTTTTGACTTCTCATTTATTTTATTGTGCAAAATCAGTCTTATGTTACTTCGCCAGATTTTATATACAAAATCTCTTTTTTTTAGGCTATATAATTTTTTGTGTCAGATAAACAAGTATAATTTGATACAGTTGGCTCTTTTGCTGTTTTTTTTTTTTAAATAAGACTCAGAGTTGGAAACGATAACCTTTCAGTTTAATGGTCAACATTATTAGAAAAAGCATTATCAAACTGAAATGCAGGTATTGCTTAGCTCATGCTGTTTTTAGAAATCCTGCAGTTACCAATTGCATAAAATTGTAACATTCCCTTAATATTACATAGAATACATAGTAAAGTAAGGGAACTTGGAATGAAATTATTGTTTAAATTTAGAAAAATTATCATTGATTTGTACGTGGAAATTGTGAATTACGTAAGGCTTTTATCTGTTTGGCTTTGAAAAGTTATCTTGYCTTCTACCTGAAATGTAAATCAGCAAACATCAGGTTTATGTTCTGCCACAGCTCTATGACTGTGCTCTTTTGTTTTTCTAGTTTTGTTTAATATTTAAGAACTATTCACTTAACTGCACAAAGTTGTCCTGTTAACTAGTGGATGTGTTCCCTTAATACACATATTTATTCTAAAAGCAAGAACTTTTTGTGTTTTTCCTGGCAATTTGTAAATAAGATTATTTTTATTCATTTGACATGAAAGTATTATTTTGTCCTGTATATTTTTTTACCCTTTTTATTGTGGCAAGGTTCACATTTTTGAGGCAAAGATTTCTGTGAGATATGCCAAAAGTATTTTGATCACCATGTTCTTATATCCATCCCTCTGTTCAGCACCTGTTCAKCATACATTACTGGCTTAGTAAGATGTGCTGATAGTCCTCTTACTTCATTGTTCCTAGAAGTGTAGTTGTGAACCAACATGGTTGCAGTGTAACTTTTCTTGTATTGACTATAAAATTATGTGAACATAAATATTTATATTAGCAAAAATAAATCCCAATGTTATGTCTGTATAGCCTGTTAAAACCTTTTCTTGGCAATATATCTATGGCCACTTCTGCAAGGAGCACTGGGAGGATGTGCACCCAGGCAGGTCCCCGTTATTCTGGCATTGCAGCGTGGCTGCAACAGAGCAGTCTGTCCATGCACAGATGCTGGTGCAGAGGTTTTCCTTGTTCCACAGGCTGCTGCAGCCCAATGAGACCGTGTAACTTTTTTAGGGGAGGAAGTGGAATATGCCTAATCCGGCAGAAAGGGGGATTCGTAGTCATATGGTCAAGGCACTTTACCTTGGCAGGAAAGCTACTTCTACCATGTTTTTGATCATGTCAGGTAATTGAAGAATTGATTCTATATCTTAACAGCAGTTTAAATACCTTTAACACTAGCTCTGCTGTGTTTGTTACAGTGTGAATTTCTCATTGTTTGCTATTTCTGTGACCCCATCCAAGCTACTCATAGACTGCAGTAATACTTAACACCAGAGATTTCAGTATTTCTCTCCCACTGCATCTTTCTTATTGGTATCCTTAGGTCTCAACTCAAGGCCTTCCTGTGCCACATAATCTCACTATGTGAGAAAATGCTTATTATGGTTAAAGGAAATTCAACACAGCCATGCGGAGTGTATGTTCCAATGTGTTACACAGTTTGTTAGAAATATGTCCTTTTCTACAGTTTCAGCCCTTTGAATTGTAATTATAGATAGCTGGGCATAAATAAAATCAGTCATTAGGTGGCTGAGTAACAAATAAACCCAAGCTGTGCAAGTTTCCTAGTGAATATAAAGGAAAATCTTTTTTAAAAAGTGTATTTTCATACTTGTATGGGGAGCAAATTCAGTGAATATTGGTTGTCTGTGCCAACTTCTACTAAAGACTGTATATTATATAAATAACCAGGTTTTAAAGTGCAAAAACATTTGAAATTTAATTTATACTGTTTACAAATAGAACTGTGGTGTTCATGCAGTTTGTTCCTCCTCAAAGCTACAGATCACTGCGTTCTCTGTAATTTTGTACATATATATATTTTAGAAGAACTACCCATTTTCTGTATTGCAAATGGCTGTACAATAAAACATGCTTTAATAGCCATTTAGTGTAGTGTATTCCTTTATATCACTGGTCAGCGGCAGCAGCCCAGCCGAGCATCTGTGACCTGCCACRCTCATCGGGTTGTGGTTCACCCGTTCCCATGGCCAGCAGCACACAAGGGAGCTACCACAGCCTCCGACTGTTTCTGACTTCTTGGCATCTGTGAACAGTTGTCCATTTACATCTGGGCTGACAGGTGATGTCCTTCACTAGGAGTCCTGAGAAAGTCTTGAAATTTTGTCATATCTTTACAGAGATTTTTTAATCGCTCTGTCCCTGTATTACCAACATGTAAGAAAAAAATTAAAAAATAACCAAGAATAGTAAACCTATTGTAGAGACACTTTACACTTTTGATACAGGGATCTCCAATATCGAGAGACTGGACACCCCCAGTCTCCAACGTGAAAAACCGCTTGAGGTAAAATGAGGAACTTAAATTTGGATACAAAAGTAACTTAAAAGAATATTCTTCTAAGCATTAAATTTCCTATAAATAGGAAATAGTTACTTCATAGTTACTGAGATTAGTTAATGAAATAGTTTCTTCATAGTTACTGAGATTAAAATTAGAAACTTTTTTTAATAAAAAAGATAGATGGGGACAACTCATTGGAGATACTATAGATTTGTTAAATTAGTCTTCAGTTTTACTGAGGAAACTGCTGTTATGTATGTTGCTAGCCTTAACCACAGCTGCTGGTTTGCTGAGTGCTGCCAAGATCTGTTTTTCTAGTAAAGCCTTGTCGCCGTGAGCTGCTTGGGAAGCAAGAGGGCAAACTGACTTGAGTTTAGCATTAGGCTTTTCCTAGCTTTGGAGCCAAATTTTGTCTTCCCAGCTCTGGCAGTCCTCAAGGAATTTGAGCTGCTAGAGATGGTTTTCTTAGCTACTCTGAAGTTCAGAATGGCATTATGTTCTCCAATTTACTTGAAAATGCAGCAACAAAAACGTTGCTGGGATGGCAGCCACGATTAGAAGGAGAGCAACATCAGGTGCTCTAATTCATGATTATAGGAATGGGACTGCCTCAGAGCAGTAAGCTATGCAAGAAAGAGAGAAAAAAGGAATGTGGGTGCTTTAAAAACCAAAAAYGTTCACTTCAAAGCCTGAATTCCCTTCTTTCAGACCATAAAASTAATAACAAGTAAGACATGAAGTTTAGTTTTCATATTCATCTTTCTCTTCAGGTATTTTTCTGCGTTCTTTCTGTAACCTACCTTATTCTTCTATGCCCTTAAAAGTTGTAGGAATTAGAATGTAATTTTTACTGCTTCATAATCTGAACAAATAAAATTTTGTTAAAACTGAAGCATTTAGCCATTTTTAATGACYAATAGCACTGGCATTGGTATTACAGTCTTATTTCTTCTTACCAATATTGCAGCGACTCAGCAGGGATTCCTGCTTCATAAGCGAGTGTTGTAATCCAAAGAAATCCAAAGAAACCCAGGGAAAGTGGCTTTTCTTACAACGGCTAAAAATACTCACCTGGTAGTGTTCCATTTAGAGCATGTTAGATGCTTTGTGTAGCGAATTTTGTACTTTGCTGAGAACTTGCTATAGCTTTCTTTTAGAAAGGTTTGGGTTTTATT